TGATACTTTATAAGGAAAAAGACATGACTTTTATGATAGCTATCATGGTATTGTTAGGTTTGATGAATTTCCAACTTTGATGATGAACTGCCCTACTTCTGACCAACTTCATTTGTCCATGTTAGAGGTCGAATTGGGCTTAGGTTAAAACATAAAAGTTGTAGGAAATGATGTTTTACAGCTGCCTATAAAATTTTAGATCAATCCGAGTACTGTAACATATGAAAAGACAAAAATACCATTGACTGCCATAGGTAGAGCTCTGTGGACGGTTTTGACATTTCACCATTTTGGCCGCATTTTTTCACCTTGATCCGTATTGAATTAGCATTTGGCCAAAACATGAAAGTTATAGTTCTATGTTTTATCTTTCCAACGCCTCTGAAAAAACCTCAATCGGACTTTTGTAGCCTGAGTTATTGTCTGTTGAATATAGTGCTGTTAACCAGCTTGACAGTGAAATTCTGGTTCTGTAAACGATGAATTTGACTTGGATACACTATGAACTAGATTGAGTGGTCTTCATTAAAGTTGTAGCCTTTTGTCTTAGTTTCGAAATGGTATAATTACACCCCAATCCGATAAGCGTAGCTTCGGTTGTGACCGATACGCTAAGCGACATCGAACCTGTTTTTTTTTTTACTTTTTGCCTTAAACCTTATTTCCGGTCATTTCTGTAGCATGGTTTTGTAATTGTATGACGTTGAGCCTATTGAATGGCTATTGTAATAAGACTCTTTGTGTGTGACTTTGGGACTAATTAAGGAAAAGAATGAAGGCATAAATGGCTAGAAAATAGGTAAATATAAAGGGCGTGCTGCCCAAATTTGCACTCGAGGACTAGGTAAGGATTTGAGGACGAATACCATTTGAACCATCTAGGATATTTGCGTCTTCTTTTATCGAGGTATATAAATTAGAATTCGGCCGAAACTTGTACCCTTAGAAAAATGAAATTTACGACTAATAGAAATACGTTTTCTTTGTCACTTCGACTCAAATGGAGATTTCAAAGGTTTACAGCGAGTATAAGTTTTACAAATATTTTACTCATGTCCTTTGGTTTAAATGTAATCTTTTCACTTCCAAAACCATATTTATACTTTGTACTAGTAGTTATTCGGATTTTCTTTGGTTCACCTAAACTTTGGATGGTTTAACCGTAATATTTTCCCTTGGTTATTATTAGGGTTCCTTGGTGATTGAGGGTATTATTCGGAAGGATACTTTGGACGTTATTTTGCTTAAATAGATGAGTGTTCTTTGTTTGTTATGTTTTTATGAACTATATGATTTGTTGTGGATATTTGATTAAATGATAAATGTTTGTTACAAATGAATTTTGCTAGGCGAGTGTGTACTTTATCGCACTTGACCTAAATGAAATGTGAAATTTTCAATGTTTAAGTGATTAAATGTTAGTTGTGCATGAATGTAAGCCTTTTGGCTGAACTGGACCCTTACCCATTGTTGCCGGTCGACTCGAGCCAGAAGCGAACTCGGTCGGGCGATTTGGTGACCCTGGATGAAAGTTTGGTATACTTGAGTATTATCACGTTGTCGGGTGGAGTCTGGCCAATGTCCAGAAGGGGGAAAGATGAAACAAATGAACGAGTGACAATGTCAATGGAGGGGTTTTCACTTACAAAATGCATTTTAAAATGATCGGAGAAATAAGGAAATGAAAGGTGAATGAAAGAACGAAAGGCTCCATGTGAGCATGTATCCTTTTAATGAATATGTTATCATTGTTTTATATTGTTAATGTTTCCTGGATTACGTGTTATTACATGACTAATGTTCTTATTTAAGTTGATTATGTGTCTGGAACCTCACTGGGTTTTTAGCTCATTCCGTTAGTTTTGTTTTCCTTACAGGGGATACGAGCAAGGGCGAGAGACCTGTATAGAATAGCATAGTCTAGTTTTGGAATTTGGAATTTTGCAATTTGTATTCACTCTAGTGCTTGATTAGGGTTGGAAGTATTGGAACTTAAAACTTTTGTTATATTTGGATTGTATTTTATTGCGAGAAAGAAATGAATGTAAGTATGCTTTTCAAGTTTGGGAATTGGTTTTGTTTTACTTTTCCTCGAGGTTTTATCTTATTTTTTTTGAAGTGAATAAACGAGTTCTGGCGAGAGTTGGACAGGCGGTCCGCTGAACCCTTTGGTTCATCTTAGGGGGAAGTGGGGCCGTCACACTACCGCCATCATCGCAGGTCATTGCCTAAAGCATTGTGAGGCTCTTTCCTTTCTCCATCCCTTATCTTTGATTTCTGATAGAGATATGAAGCTAAGAAAATTTATGTAGCCATTGGTTCCTTCCCTTCTAATATTTCCTATTTTCTTTTATTGTAATTATTAGTAATTTCTTTGTTTCCCATGGGGAAGAAGCTTTTGAATTGTGTTATTGGCTATAGTTTTGATGTTGAAAAAATTTTTGAGAAACTTGCTAGTGGATTGTAATTGAATAGAAGTTATCTTGCTTGATGCCCCTAAATTGTTTGATAAAATGCCAAGAATTTATGCTAAATTGTCTTTGGAAGCTATGAAAAATGGAATTCAAGATGAGAGCTTGTTTTTCCTTCTTTCATGGTGTTTGATTTCTGGTAAAACTTTTGAACTTTGATGATGTTTTGAGAAAGTTTCAAAAAAGGAAATTGTGGCTTTATATTTGTATTTTTACCATCTTTGTTCATTTTCTTAAATTCGGAAATGGATTCTACGTGAAAGTGACCGGGAAAAGGCTGGTGACCGGCGAATAACTGAAAAAAGGCCGGTGACTGATGGCCAGTAGGCAACAGCGTCTCCGCAGGCGTCTGCCATAGTCGTTGATAGAGGAGATGCATTTGGCCAGAGAGGAAGAAGAAGAAGAAAAACAAAATAAAAGAAAGAAAAACAAAAAAGAGCATGGGTTTTCTTTTTATTTTTGTTTAGGTTGCGTTTTATTTATTGTTAGGCTTGTGGATGGATTTGACATTTAGTTTAGATAAGTTTATTATTTGGGTTTGTTTAAATTCCCAATTGGGTTTGTTTATTTTTATGTGAAAAAGGCTTGCATCTTTCTTTTGGGCTAAAATGGTACGGCCCAAATACTTAAGAAAATTGACTCACCTTGTTTCTTCTTTTTTTTCTCAAATTAGAAGCCAAATTTCAAAATTTAGCCCCTAGTCTTTTGAGGAATTTTATTGTGGCCTGCAAATTTTTTATTTTTTATTTAGGCCCTTGATTTAATTTTATTTTGACCCAAAACTTTATCTTTATTTAATTTTGACCCCTAATCTTTTAAAAAATTGTATATTGATCCAGAAACTTTTTGATTTTGCAATTTAGTCCCTAATGGCTTTTTGATTTTTCTATTATGATTGTTTCTTTTCCTTAATTGCTAATTATGTTACTCTTAAGTGCATTTAACTAGTATTTTTTTTTAAGTTTCTTGTATGTTTAACACGATAATGAGTATTTACTACATTTTATGTTCTTTTTTAAATATTTTCAATTAAATTGGTGTCGTGATTCTTTTGTTGATTTTGAGTATAAATAGTGCAATATTATCTCATTTAGTCACTATTTCAAAATGGAAGTACCCATATTATCTTTTAAATTTTAATTATGCGCTCTTATGTGCTCCTATATATTTATATGTTTTTACATGTTTTCATTATTTATTTATTTTAAATTTCTATTCAATTTTTTTATGTTTGTTTAGTTAATTTTTATAATTATTTGAGGAATACTTAAATATTCAAGATGTAATAGACAGGTAATATATTTTTCTTTTTTCTTTTCTTTCTTTTGTAAAAATTGAAATTAGATAGACAAATATAATATATAGGGTAGATAGATTTATTTTATTATATTTCTCCATTTTAGATTGTAATTAAGCCCCTAAATGTAATAGATAGAGTAGATAGATTTATTTTCTTATACTTCCCTTTTAGATTGTAATTAGGGTCACTATTATGATAGATAGGTTTTGTGTGTGTTTGCGTCTTATGTGCCTATATGTTTTACCTGCTTTTCTTAGGATTTTGTATTTAGATAATATGCTTATGTGCTCTATGTGTTGATTTGCTTTAATCTGTGTTTTATATGCTTTATTTTTAAATAATAGATGCATGATATCACCACATTAGTCCAACGCTGGTAAGGATTTATAGAAATGTGTAAGTCCAACACTAGACTCTTAGATCAGCCGCATTCTAGGTTCATTTATCGTGTCATTCATTCCATTTTATGCATATTTTTCTATTTTTAGGATCTTTTTCATTTGTATAATATTTCTTCTTATATTATTTTCTTATCCCTACATGTACGAACCATATCATTTAGAATTGTATCTTATTTAGGAAATTAGAAAATAATTTTAATTCATTTGCTTATTTAGGCTGGAAGAATCACCTTTCGAATATGAAAAATGGGCTATTATAGCTCTTTAATTTCAACATTCCCTTAATCCTCTTTAAGAAGGAAAATTGTATCACGAGTTTTTAGTCTCCTACACCCATTATGTTGCATGTATACTTATATATATATATATATACACATTATCATTTTTATTTTTTCGACTCTCATTTTTGCATATTGGTGACCTTTTCAAGGGATTATTTATAAACCTTGCAATTAATGCAATTGGTACTAATTAGACTTTGAAGGGACATTTGTCCCTGCCAATATTCTCTTTAGGTTTAGGTATTGCATTCATATAGAAAACAATGTGATAAATGAAAGGGGTTAGATTATGAAAATTTTGACTAAAAATCTCGCAACTAGTTTAAATTAGAGCGAATTGCGCGAAATGTCACTAAACTATTTCAAAATGCCGGTTCTGGTCACTAAACTTTTTTATTAGCGCGAAATGTCACTGAACTAGTAAATCTGTACCGTTTTGGTCACTCCGTGTATTTGTGCCGTCAGGAGAGACGGAAATCAACTTTTTGAGGGGCAAATTCGTCTGCACAGCCTTAGTGGGAAGAGTTTCATCTGGTAAGTGAAAGGTTTAACTGTGGGGCTTTGGAATGTTGGTAAAATTTTCCTGTGGCTTATCCTCCACCGTTTTCACAAACACCCCAGCTCGCCTAAGCTCGGAGGCTAATCCATACCCAACTTTCGGCGAAGTCAAAGTCCTTGCAGCTTCATTATACTTCTCATTGCCATCAATAAACCTTTCTTTAAAACGCTGTCGTTTCTTACCTTTCAATGACCTCATTCTGTTCAGCTTCTTTTGCCTCTCCCTCTCATGCAACTGCCTAAAATGCTTCTTTAAATCCAAATGTGTCTTACATTTTCTCCCGCAAACAGAGCAAATATACGGTTCAGAAGGGGTAGAAACACCTTTCCTCTCAAGAATGTCCATACGCCGTCGTTCTCGGCGTTCTTCAACAACCCATTGGGGCAAATGAATGAAAGCGTGTCGATTAGCGTAAGCAGAGATATCAACCAGGTTGCCGAAATGCTGGGCCACTTTTTTTAAGGCCATCGCCGCCTGGTACGGCGGCCCGCGAGGGGGCTTGTTATCTAAGTCCCATAAGACCACTACTTTCTTAGGCTTAGCTGTGTAGATGCCTTCTTTGGTTCTCACCATATCGATTTCGCTCTCGGCTGCAGCTTCTGCTGCACAGGCTCTGATGTTGGCCCATTTACCATATGAATTGGGGTCGGATAGGGAGAGGGGTTTTTAGGGGGCGAATTGCGGAATGAGAAAAAGGGGTTTGGGGAATCTGTAGTGGGAAAATGGTGGAGAATTTAGGTGGATGAATTCAATGGAGGTGCATAGGGAGTTAATCATGGTAAACTTTATAGCTGATGGGTTTTTGGCGGGGGATTCCGGGATTGTGTAAGTGGTCGTAGGGAAGAGGAAGGAGACCTTGTGGAAGTTGAGATAATTTCAGGAGGGAGATGAGAATATTCTCTGCCTCCTATAGCAGCAGCTGAATGTTCGGGAAATGCAGGTGCACGAATCTTCTCTGCCTCCTATATATTGTCCCTCCTACTCCATATTTGCAGAAGAAATCTATTACAGGATAAGGGTTTGCACTTCCTAATTGAACTTACGAGTTGTCTGACATTTGAGAGTGATTTATGGTGGAGAGTTTCAAGGAAAAGACTGTGCAGACGAATTTGCCCCTCAAAAAGTTGATTTCCGTCTCTCCTGACGGCACAAATACACGGAGTGACCAAAACGGTACAGATTTACTAGTTCAGTGACATTTCGCGCTAATAAAAAAAGTTTAGTGACCAGAACCGGCACTTTGAAATAGTTTAGTGACATTTCGCGCAATTCGCTCTTTAAATTAAGTCGAAGGGTGCCTTAGGTTTGAGACAATCGAATTTTTGTCTTCCCTTTTTTCAACCATAACTTCTAAACTCATTTTCTCTTGTTTTCAAAAATCTAGAGTTATCAAAAAGGGTTTTATTTTATTTTATTTTTGGTCAAAAACATTTTTGAGTGACTTGGTACACCTAAATTCAATACCAAGTGGCGACTCCTTTTTTCCTAAATCCCTTTTTAGACTAAATTTTGGGCTAAACTGTCACATTTTTTAATCTATCCCGTTTTTAACTTTTTCACTTATTTTTGTAAAAATGAAAAATACATTTTTTTTTTATAAATACCTTTTTATCGCAAAAAATGGGGCACGACATATGCATGTAACCTTTAATTGTATCCTTGACTATTTGCATAAGTTAGATAACTCCAAAATCTGCAATTTTCAACTCATATGAAGAAGCAATACACTATGGATTTACTTTATCCTCCTACTAGTAATTATTTTGTTTCTACTTACTAAGAAAATCCTGAGCTAACTATGATGAAATACTTGTTTTATATAGTTTGTTGCTTATCATACAGGGGCAGATTTAAGGTGTTTTTTTTTCCCAGCCCCCAGTGCCCCCCTTAAATTCCTATAATACTTATACAATTTTGATATAATTTTAAGTGTGCTCCCAGAGTTTTCTTAAAAAGGATGTGAAGGAATTACGTAATTTTTTAAGTTAGTTCATGAACTAAAATTCTAAAAAAATACGTGGGGCACAAATTCCATTTGAAATAAACTAAAAAAAAGTCTTTTCATTTCAACTAGTAAGTACCAATCATATCATTCACTTTCTTTGGGTAGTTCATGAACTAAAATTCTAAAAAAATACGTGGGGCACAAATTCCATTTGAAATAAACAAAAAAAAAAAGTCTTTTCATTTCAACTAGCAAGTACCAATCATATCATTCACTTTCTTTGGGCCCCACTCCCCAATTTCCCTTCCCTCCTCTATCCCTCATTTTTCCCCCACAACCGAGAGCCACTACCTTCCACAACCAAGCAACTAGCTACTCTTTCTATTGATCAATTCATCCAATCATATTATTCACTTCCTTTGTCCCCACTTCCCAATTTCCCTTCCCTCCATGGGTCCCCCATTTTCCCTCCACAACCGAGAGCTATTCTTTCTTTCACAACCAAGTTAGTTATCAAAATATAAAAACTCGCAGTGAGCAATTGTAAATAGTTTAATTTGTTTTTGAAAAAAAATTATTATTACATTAATAATTTTGAATTTGTCTTTTTATGTTTTTCATGGAATATATACATCATTTGTACTTGTTGGTGAATTTTTTTTTTCTTAAAAAACTAGAAAAAAAGTAGGTAAAAAATTTTAATGTTGCTTTTGCCCCCACTAAGAATTTTTTCTGGCTTCGCCACTGTTATCATATCATCTTTGGCACAATCTTTCTGTTGTAAGTACTATGTTAGGAATTCATCTTTGGTACAATTTCGTGCAATCTTTCTGTTGAAGTACTATGTTAGGAATTCATCGTCCAAATAGTCACGCTACCATACCTATAGTTATGCCTCGCAAAATAGCCTAAAATCCACGGAACCAGCCAACTTGCCCAATATTTTTGAAAGGTTGGGGGATTTAAATGGATAATGGGTCCAAATGGGCTGGGTATCCAAGTACTTTGTTGGCATATTAGGCTATTGATTGGATGCCCAATGGAATTTCAGAAAACAATAAATAAAATTTTTTTCATCCTTGACTTGTCATCTTAACAGTTGATAGGTGGAAGGCTTTTTTTTTTTTTTTTTTTTTTGAGATGGAAGACTTTGAGACAATTAAGATGGTTGACCATCAGAAACCTACCAAATATGTTAACATTAACCTCTCAATTTTTCCTAAATCAAAATTTTTGAAAAATCTGTGGCTACGAAATCTCTAATTGAGTTCTCGATAAGTGTTGTCCTGAAAGTCTTCTGATTCCTTCTCAAGCATGATGATTTTTGTTTGTTTAACATCACTTTAGTTTGAAATCAAGTTCTAGATTTAAGTTGAAAAGGTAGATTTGTGTGACAGCCCCACCTCCCCCTAAGGCGTACCAAAGGGTTCGGCGGACCGCCTGCCCAACTCTCGCCGGGACTCAGTCGTCCACGTCAATCCTCAATCGAAACCAGAATAAACCCACAAGACTAAACATAACAACGATCCAAAACTTAAAGCAAAACTTATATACATTGCTATCTCAAAAGGGAGTACAAACATCGAATATACAAAGGTTCTCAATTCACCATACATCCAGCCCGTGCCGAGCACTAGAGCGAGAACCATTACAAAACCAAAGAAACCAGTCTAGGCTAGACTCTACCGAGCTCTCGTCCTTGCTCGCCGTCCCCTGTTAAAGAAAACAAAACTAAAGGAATGAGCTAAAAACTCAGTGAGGTTCCGAACACATAGGCAACAAGAAGTTCAATGCATTCATTACATATAACCAATAATTCAAGATACAAATACAAAATAAAGCGATAAACACATTCATTAAAAGGATACGGGCTCACAGGGAGCCATATATTCGTTCGTTCGTTCGTTCTCCTGTTATTCCCCTTATTCCTCCGGTCAATTAAATAAAATGCATTTTTGGTAAATAAAACCCTCGTTCATTCTTTCGTTTCGTTCACCCCCTCCTGGAAATTGGCCAGGCTCCACCAGACTACAAGGTAATACTCGAGTATACCAAATTCACCCAGGGTCACCATATCGCCCGACCGAGTCCGCTTCTGGCTCGAGTCGATCGGTAACGAAGGGCAGGGTCCAATTCAGCCAAAAGGCTTACATCATGCGTAACTAATGTAGCAATCATTAAATCATTGAAAATTTCACGTTTCATTTAGGTCGAGCGCGGTAAAGTACACGCTCGCCTAGAAAACTCGTTTTGGAAATCCTTGAAAGCACTTAATACATCATCAAACAAGAACACAAGTCATGAAGTCAAGAAAAATATAGCAAACAAGGAACACTCACCTATTTACGCAAAAATAACGTGCAAATATCCTTCCGGATATTATCTCAGTCACCGAAAAAACCTAAGAGTAAATGAGAAAGAATATTATAGTCTATCTAGCACAAAAATATCTAGCACAAACAATTAGGTGAAATCGAAGAAACCCAACAATTGATGAATAAAACGTATAGAAATGACTTTAAAGTGAAACGAGGGCATTTGGACCGGTGGACGGAAATAGCTAGGGTTTCATAAACTAAACGCAAAACCAAACAAAAAGGGGTATAAAATTTCCAATGGAAAACACTTGAACCAAAGACAAGTCGGATTCCAACTAGATAGGCTAAGAAATACTGTTTTCGGGATCGTTTATATGGTTCAGAATCATCTCATATTCAAGTAGATATTATAGACTAAATGTCTTAATGAAATTCATGTAAAAGGGAGGACAAAATACCCAAGAAAACCCTAAACCACTCCCTTTTTATTTGGTAAGCGTAAGTAAACATTTGGAGTTTCCAATTGAAGAAGGATCATGTTTTAAGATGGAAAACGGTCATAGTATTTGCCAAACGAAAATATACAAATTCAAATAGAAACTTAGCCCTCGAGCGAAAATTTGGGCAGCACGTCCTTTGTATTTACCTATTTTTCCAGCCATTTATGGCTTCATTGTTTTCCTCAATCAATCCCAAAGTCACACACAATATCATCTCATTTCAATAGCCATTCCATAGGCTCAAAGTCATATAAGTACAAAAATCAAGCTAACAACATGTGCGGAAATGAAGTTTAACAAAAGACAGATTTGACGGGTTTTACGTAACGGACACATCCGAAGCTACGCTTATCGGATTGGGATATAATTTATACCATTTCGAAGCTAAGACAGAGGGTTACAATTTTGATGAAGACCACTTAGTCCAAATTCCAGTGTAACCTAGTCAAATTCCCAATTCCCAGAACCAAGTTCCAACTAATCGGCTAATTAACTGTACTACCTTTAAATGGCCATATCGCAGGCTACCAAAGTCCGTTTAAGGCATTCTTGGAGGTGTTGAAAAGCTAAGACAAAGACCTACAACTTTTATGAAGACCACTCAGTCCAGTTCTCACCCTAACTAGGTCAAATTTACCAAAACAACTCCAGATTTTCCAGTTCGAAATTCACTGCAGAAATCCACTAGCAGTCCTGCTTTATTCACTCATATCTCAGCACACACAACTCCAATTCAGGTAATTCCAAAGCCATTTGAAAGCTAAGATACAAGGCTATAATTCTCAAGAAGACATCATCAACCAATTCGGTAATATTCCTGGTCAAACTAACCACTTACAGAGGCTGATTTTCATTTTCGGACAGAAACAGGGCAGCAGGGATATTTCGGTC